CTGTGGGGCTGGGTCTGTTTGCATCGACGTGTGCCGTGTGTCCGTGGTCTTGACGCGTCCACGGGGCTCTGGTGTGCGCTCTGGCTCTCTCAGCTGCAGTGAGAAATGAGAGTGTGTGAATGCTGCTCTGCTCTGCTCTCTCCCTCTCTCTCTCTCTTGCTTCACTCACACCGTCTCTGCCTCTTATCACCAAAATGTGCCATTAACACACCAGCTTCTTAGTGTTTCTCTATCCATCCATCTGTCTATGTCTCTCATTCTTGAAACAAACAAAAAAACACTGCATTTGCAGCCTCTAGTGGAAGTAAGGCAAGTTACAATCAATCTTCAATAAATTAAATGTGAAAGTGTTAATACTTACAATTTTAATAATAATGCAGGCATATCTATTGGCCCAAAGGCCTTTATTTTTGACTGAATTGAAGCCTACTGAATATATATATTTCTTTTTTTAACTCTATATTTGCCCATGTTGGATCTGTAAACAGATACCCAGCCCTAGTGGCAGTATTAAGCAGTAGTCTTTACTTCTTTGCTGTTTGTTTGTCTTTTTTGTTTTTTCTTTGCATTTTTGCTCAGAATAAAGAGTTGTGCAGAGTTGGTAAAGATCAATCAAATCGGACTTAAATATAGGGACATTTTTCCTTGGTCCGCTGCATTTGACCCATCTTTCCAATCCCAAACTCCACTCAAAATACTTATTTTAGCTGAGAAGTGAGAGTGCTAACCACTCTGCCAACGTGGTGTAGTGCCACTGCCACATGCAGGGTCCTCACGTCAGTCATCGCCAATAATCAAGTTTGGACCATGTTTTGACATTTGAATCCATGTCTTGTCTCTGCTCTTTTCGCCTCGGTTGGTTCTGTACCACTACAGATCCATGTTCTGTACTTGTCACATTTATTAAGAGTTCGGCAGAACCGCGCGCGGGAGAATCACCGGAACCAGGAACCGAACACGACGTCGGGTCAAACCATGGATATTCGGTCAAACTCATTAAAATATTTCAATATTTACCCTGATAATCTGAAGCAGCCACCACATCGTCACAAATAAAGAGCCCTGTTGCGTCATCATGACCGTGCGTGGTCGTTATTATAATAGATCCATGAGGTGGTCCAGGGTCCAACACTTTGGGTCCTACGGTACAGGCCCCATATAAAGCCTACTCCCCCTATAGATCCACTGAAGTACTGCAATTAAATAAAGAGTAAAGAGAAGAAGCAGTGAGATTCTCCTCTTTCTCAACCGGTTTGATTCTCTCCCCTCTCCAACCGCTGAGGTCCTTCGGAGTGAGCAGGCCTCTGCTCAGGATTTTTTATGACTCTGTGGTAGCTTCTGCCATTTACTACGCTGCCGTGTGCTGGGCCCCGGGCAGCACAGAGCGGGACAGAAACAGACTGAACAAGCTGGTCAGGAGGGCCAGCTCCACTCTGGGCTGCTCCCTGGACTCTGTGGAGGAGGTGAGGGACAGGAGGGTGCTAGCAAAAGCCACCTCCATCATGAACAATACCTCCCACTGCACAGGACTGTAGAGGAGCTGAGGAGCTCCTTCAGTGGAAGACTGAGACACCCTCAGTGTAGGAAGGAGCGCTACCGCAGGGCCTTTATCCCCACCGCTGTCAGACTGTACAATAAGTCACTTTAAATGATCACTGTGTGAAAACCTGCACTACTATTGGCACTGTTTCCAATTGACACTTATCACTTTTGTTGTACATAATTATTATCACTTTTATTGTACATATATCCTGCATGTAACATGTTTGCACATTTCCTCCTTTTGCACAATCTGAGTGTTCTATCCATGCCAAATGTGACATGTAAATTTCTCCTCTGTGAGATAAATAAAGCACATCTTATCATCTTATCACGCTATTATAAACCTTTTCAATTCTTAAAGTAACTGAGTGGGTTCGTGGTACCACAGTTTTAAATGCAGTAAGCAATAAATGAATAAAAAAAATCAGAATGAAAGTGGATGTTTTCTGCATCATCAAACATTCATCTAATTCTGTTAGAGCAACAGGGGTCACATGGGCGTCTAGTTTACTGATAAACTCACTGATTGAAGGAAACGGAATTGTCAGCAGTGCCTTGAGGGAACAGTGACCTTATGAAACTGTGTCAACCACAGCACTTAGACCTTGCTTGCAATTATCACTAGTACGCAGGAAATTAACACATTTTCACATTTTTGGAAATCCACCAAAAATATCCAGGACGTTTGTAGGATAGCATGATAATTATGTGTGTTGGAAAGGCCAAAGTGTGGGCCGGGTGGCCTAGATATAGAGATCCATAGGGTCCAATTAGTCAGGTATGGAATGAAATGGAGACAGTTGCTGTCACAGCTGATCAACACATTTCCTGCTGGCTTATGAGGGATCGCCACAAGAAACTCATTACAGGTGTGGCATCAGGGAACACACATGAAAGATAATTGTATATTTTTATCCTTAATGGGTTTCCTGAATTAATAGTATTTATTGGATGTATCCTGTTGTCATTCGCCTTCAAAGGAGAAATTTGTTTAGCTCCCAGGGCAGAGACAACAGATTATGTGAAAACCCATCCAGCCTTTATCCAGGACCCGGTTCTGCAGCTAGCAGATTAAAATCTGGGATGGCTGTGACACAAACATGCTCCCAGAGCATACCTTACTGGCAAGCTGAAGTGAGTTTAGTTTATAATACTCAGAGACAGTCTGCGAAGAATACATTTTAGTTGGTATTAACTGTAAGCTGCATACCTTGATGTGTATATTTATTCATCTAACTGAAATTTCCCCACTGTGGGGAAAGGAATATCTTCATCTTAAGGCATATTTGTATTGACTCTTTCTGTCCCTGACCGGTCTTTCAAGCTGCAACTCTGCTACAATCTGCATGAAACAAATGATGCATGATGCTTGTGAACATACTCAAAGGCGACATTGTTCTCAGGAGAAAACATAATACATTAATTGAATAACATCCGAGTAGGTAGCTCTTAAAACTATGAGAGCTATACTTTCTCTAGAGTGAAGTCGCACTCACATTAATGTCAGTCAATTTTCTGGTGTGAAACATGACACATGGCTTTTAGATATAAAGCAAAACAAATACATAGTATGTATTGTCATATCTGACTTGGATTTCCCTCACATTTCTCTTGTGAAGGCAGTAAATATGTCCTTGCTTCATTAGAGACAAGGGCACCACATCCACACACAGAGGAGCAGAGGTGCTGACTGGTCATAACCACTCGTACACCAGTCAATACAGCCTGCTCATGACATACCTCTTGTACTTGAAGATGCCAATAATCCAATCATATCCGACTTACATAGACACTAAAGCTTCGACAACATAAACTGCATGATGAGAGGGGAAACTATGATTAATAGTTTGACGAGTATTGAATCCCTGGGAACTTTGTAGATCATGGCAAGTGAAAATTCCTATCTGTGCAGCTGACGTGTTAGGCAGAGGAGTTCAGTACAGAAGCACTTCACAGAAAGCAGATAGCACAACTTTACCAAACCTTATCTGGCACTAACAGGTAGAATTGTAAGAGACAAACTGAATTACCAAACAGCTATGCCGTGTGCTGGGCCTCTGGCAGCACAGACTGAACGAGCTGGTCAGGAGGGCCAGCTCTGTGGAGGTGGTGAGGGACAGGAGGGTGCTAGTAGTCAGTCACCTCCATCAAGGACAACACACCTCCCACCCACTGCACAGGAGCTCCTTCAGTGGAACACCCACAGCGCAAGGAGCACTTCCACAGGGGCTTCATCCCCACCGCTGTCAGACAGTACAATAAGAAATTAAAAAGAAACCTGCACTGCAATTGTATATAATATCCTGCAGACTTTTAGCATGTTTGCACATTGATTCTATTCATAAATGTGGCATGTACAATTCTCCAGTGTGAAAGCAAGTCCATCTTAAGAGTATCGTCCTAGGCTCAAAAAAAAAAAAAATTGTACTGCTGCCTATGAACTGTAGTTTGAATAAAGACGGGGCACAAGACCCCATTTTTATTAACTGGCTGAACTGCATGTGTCCAAATAGAATACCTGCATTCCTCTGATCTAAGAGTAATGCATATAAATAATGTAGCTGCAAGATTTGATTCCAATCCCAGATGGGGCCTTTGAGAGTGCTCATGTTCCCCCGTACACTTGCCCTACCACATGTATTCTTAAAGGATTGTGTGAGTCAGGGTTTACCGTCAAAAAGGGTGACCTGTCTGAAATGCACTAAAAGTAAAGCCTTAGAGGGAAGAAATCATGCAGCAGCGGATTCATGTGAAAATGTATGTAAGTAAGGAAGGTTTATTTATATACCGTCTTTCACAGACAAGGGTCACAAAGCGGTTTACAATTGTTATTTTTTGGGCACTTGTCTCACTCCAGACAGAGGGAGCGGGGTCGCCGAACAGGAGGCGCATGCCAGATCTATTGTACATATTTTTAGTGGTAGGGGAAACGGAGTACCCGGAGGAAACCTACGCAGACACGGGGAGAACATGCAAACTCCACTCAGAAAGGCCCTGGTCCGGCCAGGATTCTAACCCAGGACCTTCTTGCTGAGAGGCGAGAGTGTTAGCCACTCGCACGGTGTAGAACTAAGCAATTATGTGCAGTCTTTTGAAAAATGTAAAAAACAAGACTAGACCTTACAAAGTGTAGTGTGTCTAACCTTGAGTACAATTGGAGACCAGCAATAATGTTTAATATGTAAATATTTTGGCATAGCCAGCAAGTCAAATTACTCCATGTGAACAACTTTTACCCATTAGTGGGCAATGCAACAGATAAGACACGCAGTCAGATGGAATTTGTTAGCACATTTAATATTTACAACTAAAATAAATACATTTGTCATAGTAGGGCATCTAAGCAGCTTTACATTAAAATGCACACATAGCTCAGTGGCACAAATAGTAGCTCACCCTGATCCAGTCAGAGCAAGCAGAACTGCATTAGACAATTAGAGTCACTGCAGAGGCCCAGCTCAAGCCCTAGAGAAACAAAAAATAAAGGTTAGTACATTGGACTCCAACCACAAAGACCAAAGAAGTGACTCATTACTTTGTTAACAGTGAGGAAACTTCTATATGTTGTTTGTGAGGCAGATGTCCTTGAGCCTTGGTAGACGGGGTAGTAGGTGGCTGGGCCCAATAAAGGTCAGGGTTATGCTGCCCTTGTGCTGAACTCCCTGACAAACTCTGGAACAACTGGTTCACTTGGTTGGTTTGGTCATCAGAGGCAAGATTCCCTATGAGAGCTGGAGCAGCATGTTGGAACGGAATTAAATGATTAAAGTCAAATGGGTAAATGTGAGGGGACACCTGAGTGGGATGGTCATAAAGAGACAGTCGATTCAAATAGTAAAGTAAATGCTGCAAATATGCTGCATAGTCGGGTGGTGGAGAAGTCGTGGACTGGTCATGGTTATGGGACAGCTGATGCAAATAGTAGAGCAAATAAGGCAAATACTGTGCAAATTCAGGTGAAGTAGTTGTGGTCTGGTCATTGGCCAGGTGATGCAGATAGCCTAGTAAGTACTGCAAAAAGGCCAAAAAGTCAGGTGGAGGAGCAGTATTAGAAGACTGGTCGTAGTTATGGGCCAGTTGATGCAAATAGTAAAGCAACTTCTCAATAGAAGGATGCGTGGGATGAGTGGGCCAGGTGGGATGAGTGGGCCAGGTGGGATGAGTGGGCCAGGTGGGATGAGTGGGCCAGGTGGGATGAGTGGGCCAGGTGGGATGAGTGGGCCAGGTGGGATGAGTGGGCCAGGTGGGATGAGTGGGCCAGGTGGGATGAGTGGGCCAGGTGGGATGAGTGGGCCAGGTGGGATGAGTGGGCCAGGTGGGATGAGTGGGCCAGGTGGGATGAGTGGGCCAGGTGGGATGAGGATCTGCAGTTGGATTGCCATCTGGAGTTTTGGGGCACTTCAGAGTTAATGGGACTCCATGCCAATTTATTGGGAAATTGTTGCTTCCATCCTGAAGATTAAAGACAGTTAGTGTTCTTTAAGTACAAACTATGTCTAGGGCTATAGTAAGTTACCTCATAAACAAGACAACACCCTTTAAAGGGAATAGTCACGGAGTAGCCAAACGGAGTTCTATGAGCATTGTACTGACAGGATTGAGGCTCTGCAACAGACGTCATGTCAATGTTACTTGTAGCCAATATTAAAGCCCCAGAATCTACATTTGAACTGTTACTTACGCTGGCCCAGTGAAAAGTGCTTTACCAGCGGTCCAAAAGCTTTGAATTTCATAAAACCTGCTTGTCCACACCCCAGTGAAGCGTGCATCTGATGCCAATGGTTTAGAATTCCTAGCATAGGAGATAAAATTAAGCAAAGGCATGTTAACTTCCTGGTAGTCTTGGTTATGAACATAATGAGGGTGACCACATGGTTGCTGACCACATACGAATACACGCTTTAATAAACTAGATGAAACGGACCCACGTTACGTGTTGTGTTTAGAGTCAAAAATCTGACAAGCCAAGAAAGTTGATACATTTCTCACTAAAGACATGATGACCAAGATAAATTAATCGTTAACTGAATATAAACGTTCGGATATGTAACTTGGGTTAAAAAGTAATAGTAAAACAAGGCTGAACATTTACAAAATATGTAGTAACGTAAAGAATGCTGGAACTCCTGTTACCTCTACTTAAAAAACGGCACAAATACCAGCGGTAGGCTCTAAATTAAATGACACATGGTACCTGGAGAGTCGGCTTGGTAAGAGGCGGTGTCACCATCCAAGGAAATATTATTAGGGCCTTCTCCAAACACGATGATTCCTTTTCGGATGCTTGTAGTCTCTGCTGCTTCTTTTCTTTCAGTTTTTCTCAAACTAGAAGCCTCTGTTTGCGTCAAGAGGAACGCAACTAGAAGTGCGCACACAGCTGCACAACTGACGTCTCGTTTGCGCCACATGGTTCTCACGCGTCGGACTCTGAACGTGAGAACCATGTGGCTGAGTTTATAAATGGTTCCCGACTGGTTCCGACCAATCACACACAACTACAGACTAGCAGCACCTGGTGACAACCACCGAGAAGTTCAACACTTCCATTGACTGGAAACACAGCCACTGGCTTTCATCCCAATCAGAGAAAAGAAATACATGAATGGCACAATACATTCAAGAGAAGGAAAATGAGTCATTAATTTATTTCATGACAACAAAAAACAAATTTGATTTTACACGCAGAGCACATCATCCTGGCGCCCCCTGCTGGCTAAACGCACACATCGTTTTAACACGAACATCCCTCACTGATCAGCTGTTCACGTGTATCTGTCTGCTTTGTTTTGTCAGAAACTAAACATGTCTCCAACAATTGAGTGCAGACCACTACAATAGTATCATGCAACAATACTTTGATATCAAATGCATCACGTCTGCGTCGCGTCAGAAACGTCGGTCTAGACACGTGCGTCTTTGATGCGTCTGATCCATAGACTCTCCATATACTATGGCCTTTAGGCCCTTTGATTTCAAAACACGTTGGGTTTATGTCTACTGGTCCCGCACACATGAAACAAAGCTTATTTTTTTCTATATTCCCTTTTGTTGATTCTTGATTTTTTTGCCATTAAAAAGTCCCTTAAATCTATTTAGCCCTTTCACCTTTAGACATTTTGATTTCAAAACACGTTGGGTTTAGGTCTACTGGTCCCCCACACATGAAACACAGCTTATTTTTTCAATATACCCTTTTGATTAAATATATATTTTTTGCTATTATAAATTCCATCCATCCATTTTCTTCCGCTTCATCCGTTGCCGGGTCGCGGGGGCAGCAGCCTAAGCAGAGACCCCCAGACTTCCCTATCCACTTTTAACATGTTTGCACATTGATTCTTTTTATAACAAATGTGGCATGTACAATTCCAGTGTGAAAGAAAGTCCATCTTAAGAGTATTGTCCTAGGCTCAAAAAAAAACAAAAAAAAGAAAATATTACTGCTGCCTATGAACTGTAGTTTGAATAAAAACAGGGCACAAAACCCCATTTTTATTAACTGGCTGAACTGCATGTGTCCAAATTGAATACCTGCATTCATCTGGAGTAATGCATATAAATAATGTAGCTGCAAGATTTGATTCCAATCCCAGATGGGGCCTTTGAGAGTGCTCATGTTCCCCCGTACACTTGCCCTACCACATGTATTCTTAAAGGATTGTTTGAGTCAGGGTTTACCGGCAAAAAGGGTGACCTGTCTGAAATGCACTAAAAGTAAAGCCTTAGAGGGAAGAAATCATGCAGCAGCGGATTCATGTGAAAATGTATCCGCTGTTATGATTTATGCGAAAGACACTTTTAAATGTAATGAAATACAAGTCACAAATGAAAATGAACTGGAATTTCTTAGTTTAAATGTAACCTTGTCACTGCAAATGTCTTTCACTTTAGTTGTTATCTATAGACCCCCTTCATCAAATGCAGACTATTACGACAAACTGGATTTGTTGCTAAAGCAATTAAAACACATGAAAGAGTTAATTGTTATGGGTGATTTTAATATAAATTGGGAAGATAACAAAGCAAGGAAAGGTTTAAAAAAAGTTATGGATGAAATCAACATGACCCAGGTAGTTAATGGCCCAACAAGAATTACGAATCTGACGAGTACTCAAATTGACTTGGCTTTCACTAATAGGACAGAAAAGATCTTAAAATCATTTAACTTGCTCATTGGACTGTCTGATCATAATTTCATAATGGTGTCCAGAAAACTAAACAATAAGAGATTCAAACCATTGCCTGCCACAGAATTCCTCAGAATACCAAAAATGAACAACAAAACTTTAAAAACAAAATCCAACAAACAAATTGGGAGGAATTTATCAATGGATTAAATTTAGACCATGACTGTTCCAAATTCTCAGACAAAATTAATACAATTATTACTAAATTTACACAAAGAATTAAACTAAAAGCCAAGAAGAACTGTCTCCCTTGGTTAAACGAGTCCATTCTAAACCTGCTAAAAGAACGGGACAAAGCCCTAAAGGTGGCTGTCAGAAGTGGATTCAACAGACTTCAGTTCGTTTCCCTAAGAAACAAGGTGGTGAAAGAAATTAGAAAAGCTAAAGCCAATTTCTTCATTGCAGCGTTGAATTCTGCAAGGGGAAATTCAAAAATGATCTGGGATCAAATGAAAAAAATGACTGGTAACCATCATAACAAAACTTGCAAACAAATGGAAATCAATCTAAACGGAAACATCCTACGGGAGCCAAAGTCAATGGCTGATGCTTTAATAATTATTTCATCAACTCAGTGGCCGAAATTTCGAAATGTTTGTCTACACATACGCAAAAATTTGATTTAAACCCACCTCAATTTGTAACACAATCCTTTTCCATCTCAAACATAACTGAGACCAAAGTTAAAAATATCATTAGGGCCCTTAGATCCTCTAAAGCTAAGGACGTCTTTGGGATGGATACCACCATGCTTAAAGAGCTTGGCTCAGCTCTAGCTGCTCCCATTGCCGCCATTGTCAATTTTTCAGTCTCAACCGGCCAGTTTCCAAATGCATGGAAATCTGCAATAGTCACTCCAATATTTAAATCTGGCAACCCAAACTCATTACATGACTATCGACCAATAAGCATTCTTCCAGCCATCTCCAAAGTGATTGAGAAATGGGTATCAGAGCACATAGTCCAACATCTAAACAGCAACTCCCCTTCTCTCCACCCCATGCAGTTTGGATTTAGACCCAAACACTCAACAGAGATGGCCACTTGCCTTTTTATTGAGAAAATCAAATCTTCTCTGGACATGGGGGGTGTAGTGGGGGCGGTATTCTTGGACCTCAGGAAAGCCTTTGACACCCTAAATCATGCTGTTCTCTGCTCAAAGCTCCCATATTTCAACTTCTCTGGTACAATGGTGAATTGGGTGGAATCTTATCTACACGGCCGAAGTCAGTGTGTGGCGATAAATAACTGTAAGTCTGAGCCACTTATGATTGCTACAGGAGTACCGCAGGGATCAATTTTTTAGGTCCCCTTTTGTTTAGCCTTTACATTAATGATTTGCCCACAGTCTGCCCTGAAGTTGACTGCATAATGTTTGCAGATGACACAGTCTTATTTTGTCATGGTCGCTCCAAAGATGTTGTGGCTGAGAAACTCACCAAATCAATGGAATGTGTTATGTCTTGGCTGAAAGACTGCTGCTTGCAGCTTAATGTTTCCAAAACGGTCTCCATGTTTTTTAGTAAAACTAGGAGTGCTTCTAAAGATCTGGTAATATATGTTGAAGGGGAAAAACTACAATCTGTCCCTCAGTATAAATATCTTGGACTGGTGATAGATTCACATCTCACTTTTAAAACACATGTTGAAAAGATGTGTAAAACAATCAAATTTAATCTTTCAAATTTCAGATCAATAAGATATGACATGTCAACTGAGGCCGCAAACCTTTTTTTAGATTCAATGATTTTTAGTCATTTTAATTATTGTTTAACAAGCTGGAGTCAAGCTAATAAGACTACTTTAAGACCACTAGAAATCTTATATAAGCAAGCCATCAAAGTAATGGATAAAAAGAGAAAATGTTATCATCACTGTTTAATTTTGGAAAAGTATTCCTTTCTAAGTTGGCCAGATCTTCATAAATTCTCAAATCTATGCTTAATATATAAAGCAACTCATAATTTGGCTCCCACTCCACTTGCAGGTCTGATAAGTCAAAGGAACAGTAGTGAGCGGCTCACTAGAGGCTCCGTGAGAGGCGACCGTGTGATCCCTCTGCGTAAGAGCACCTTCAGTCAGTCTGCCTGGTCCGTTAGAGGCACCAGAGAGTGGAACTCACTACCACAGACTGTTAGACAGCAGAGCACATACAGGGCTTTTACACAGCACCTAAAACAATGGATGGTAAACACATACACCTGCCCACATTAACTGATGTATGATATGCTTATGCAGTCTTGTAAAGAGTATATTTTTGAATGTGTGAACACAATGTTAGTCTTGAATGATGTTATCTCTGTCTTGTAATTTTGTCATGTTAATGTATTTTAATATCTTTTTAACATCACAGCCAGGGGACTACAGATGAAAAATAGCCTCCTTGGCTAATTCTGGCTTTTTTAACTCATGTTTTATCATGTGTTGTATTAAATTGCATTGTCCCCCTTTGAAATAAACTAAACTGAAGCAATTATGTGCAGCCTTTTGAAAAATGTAAAAAACAAGACTAGACCTTACAAAGTGTAGTGTGTCTAACCTTGAGTACAATTGGAGACCAGCAATAATGTTTAATATGTAAATATTTTGGCATAGCCAGCAAGTCAAATTACTCCATGTGAACTTTTACTCATTAGTGGGCAATGCAACAGATAAGACACGCAGTCAGATGGAATTTGTTAGCACATTTAATATTTACAACTAAAATAAATACATTTGTCATAGTAGGGCATCTAAGCAGCTTTACATTAAAATGCACACATGGTTTAGTAGTCAGCCGATCCAGTCAAAGAACTGTAGACCATTAGAGTCACCACAGAGGCCCAGCTCAAACCCTACAGAGAAAAAAGGTTAGTACATCAGACTCCAACCACAAGAGACCAAACTAGTTGCTCATTACTTTGTTAAATGTTGCTGCAGCAAGGAAACTTCTATATGTTGTTTGTGAGGCAGATGTCCTTGAGCCTTGGTAGACGGGGTAGTAGGTGGCTGGGCCCAATAAAGGTCAGGGTTATGCTGCCCTTGTGCTGAACTCCCTGACAAACTCTGGAACAACTGGTTCACTTGGTTGGTTTGGTCATCAGAGGCAAGATTCCCTATGAGAGCTGGAGCAGCATGTTGGAACGGAATTAAATGATTAAAGTCAAATGGGTAAATGTGAGGGGACACCTGAGTGGGATGGTCATAAAGAGACAGTCGATTCAAATAGTAAAGTAAATGCTGCAAATATGCTGCATAGTCGGGTGGTGGAGAAGTCGTGGACTGGTCATGGTTATGGGACAGCTGATGCAAATAGTAGAGCAAATAAGGCAAATACTGTGCAAATTCAGGTGAAGTAGTTGTGGTCTGGTCATTGGCCAGGTGATGCAGATAGCCTAGTAAGTACTGCAAAAAGGCCAAAAAGTCAGGTGGAGGAGCAGTATTAGAAGACTGGTCGTAGTTATGGGCCAGTTGATGCAAATAGTAAAGCAACTTCTCAATAGAAGGATGAGTGGGCCAGGTGGGATGAGTGGGCCAGGTGGGATGAGTGGGCCAGGTGGGATGAGTGGGCCAGGTGGGATGAGTGGGCCAGGTGGGATGAGTGGGCCAGGTGGGATGAGTGGGCCAGGTGGGATGAGTGGGCCAGGTGGGATGAGTGGGCCAGGTGGGATGAGTGGGCCAGGTGGGATGAGTGGGCCAGGTGGGATGAGTGGGCCAGGTGGGATGAGTGGGCCAGGTGGGATGAGTGGGCCAGGTGGGATGAGTGGGCCAGGTGGGATGAGGATCTGCAGTTGGATTGCCATCTGGAGTTTTGGGGCACTTCAGAGTTAATGGGACTCCATGCCAATTTATTGGGAAATTGTTGCTTCCATCCTGAAGATTAAAGACAGTTAGTGTTCTTTAAGTACAAACCATGTCTAGGGCTATAGTAAGTTACCTCATAAACAAGACAACACCCTTTAAAGGGAATAGTCACGGAGTAGCCAAACGGAGTTCTATGAGCATTGTACTGACAGGATTGAGGCTCTGCAACAGACGTCATGTCAATGTTACTTGTAGCCAATATTAAAGCCCCAGAATCTACATTTGAACTGTTACTTACGCTGGCCCAGTGAAAAGTGCTTTACCAGCGGTCCAAAAGCTTTGAATTTCATAAAACCTGCTTGTCCACACCCCAGTGAAGCGTGCATCTGATGCCAATGGTTTAGAATTCCTAGCATAGGAGATAAAATTAAGCAAAGGCATGTTAACTTCCTGGTAGTCTTGGTTATGAACATAATGAGGGTGACCACATGGTTGCTGACCACATACGAATACACGCTTTAATAAACTAGATGAAACGGACCCACGTTACGTGTTGTGATTTAGAGTCAAAAATCTGACAAGCCAAGAAAGTTGATACATTTCTCACTAAAGACATGATGACCAAGATAAATTAATCGTTAACTGAATATAAAACGTTCGGGATATGTAACTTGGGTTAAAAAGTAATAGTAAAACAAGGCGAACATTTACAAAATATGTAGTAACGTAAAGAATGCTGGAACTCCTGTTACCTCTACTTAAAAAAACGGCACAAATACCAGCGGTAGGCTCTAAATTAAATGACACATGGTACCTGGAGAGTCGGCTTGGTAAGAGGCGGTGTCACCATCCAAGGAAATATTATTAGGGCCTTCTCCAAACACGATGATTCCTTTTCGGATGCTTGTAGTCTCTGCTGCTTCTTTTCTTTCAGTTTTTCTCAAACTAGAAGCCTCTGTTTGCGTCAAGAGGAACGCAACTAGAAGTGCGCACACAGCTGCACAACTGACGTCTCGTTTGCGCCACATGGTTCTCACGCGTCGGACTCTGAACGTGAGAACCATGTGGCTGAGTTTATAAATGGTTCCCGACTGGTTCCGACCAATCACACACAACTACAGACTAGCAGCACCTGGTGACAACCACCGAGAAGTTCAACACTTCCATTGACTGGAAACACAGCCACTGGCTTTCATCCCAATCAGAGAAAAGAAATACATGAATGGCACAATACATTCAAGAGAAGGAAAATGAGTCATTAATTTATTTCATGACAACAAAAAACAGATTTGATTTTACACGCAGAGCACATCATCCTGGCGCCCCCTGCTGGCTAAACGCACACATCGTTTTAACACGAACATCCCTCACTGATCAGCTGTTCACGTGTATCTGTCTGCTTTGTTTTGTCAGAAACTCAGAGGCGTCCCGTGCCAACAGGCAAGGCAGGCAGCTGCCTGGGGCCCCCAAACCGGCAGGGGCCCCCGAGGGCCGACTGATTTGACACAAGCGGTCGACTTGTACAGGCCACAACAGGTACCTGCAGTGACGAGTTGCAATTTGACCGCCCGTCTCAAATCCCCTGATAGGGCCCCGCTCCTCTCGCCCCTCCCCCCACATGTGTCAGTGACAGAGGTGAGCGGAGCGTGCAGGCAGCGTGCTATTTCTCCCAAAGCAAAACAAAGTTGTCCGACCAAATGAAGAGAAGTTATCCTTCTGGAAGCGATAAACGAAAGCGCAAAAAAGAGGAAGACGAGAAAAGAAAGCATGATAGCGGTGAGTGACTGTCAGTTCATCTAGTCTACATGACGCTCTTGGAACTAACTTGTTTGTTTGCGGATCACATCACAGAAACATTTAGCATGCTATTGTTAGCGTTTTGAAGGATTAATACACTTTGATAGCAGGTAGTGTTTGTAATTAATTATAACATGATGAGTGTAGTGAACAAGTTTATAAAAAGACATGCTAATTTATTTCTCATTGCTTTTCGTCACCAAATACTTTTTAAAATACTAATTTTCTATGGTAGACTGTGCAGTATGCCAGGCAGGCCCCAGGCTTGTACATTTATTGTTAGAAATAAGAAAATTTCTACATTTTAATGTTAATGTAAACAATTAATAGATTAAGGTTAATGCCATGTTTGATTTCTCTTTATCTTTAAGCTCAGTCTGCCGCTACACACACTACTACAGCCCCAAGTACTGCCACGCCAAGGTTCACTGCCCCCTCAAGCTCTACAGCCCTGGACAGCAGCGCTTCCTCCAGTGAGCAGCAGTCAGCTATATCCCATACTGCAATTGTCAACATTTCGTCGCCTACCTCCATTGACCAAGAGGACCAAACAGAACCACAAGCACCCACTCCAGGTATTGATATTAGTGCAATAATATATTTAGTTTAAAAAAATGCTTGAATTTTACACACTATGGCCTTTTGTAGTATCTACCATATCTATAATTTCAAACAAATATAAGAGGTATACTTGAAAATAAATCAACATCTAAGTTGGTTTGTATTTTGAAGATGTGTAAATTAAAAATACATAAATAGTAATGTTAATATGGACATATTTACAAGCCATCTTTAGCAACAATTGTAATTGTAAAGGCTGTAAAAAGAGACTAAACATGTTTGTTAAAACAGTGTTTGTTCAAGTAATGATATCACATCAGGATTATTTATGGTTATTGTGTTTTTCTTTTGAGAATTCATGTGTTTTTTTAATTGGTTTCAGCTCAAACGGCATCCACAGACCAAGAAAAAGCAACACCAATAAGATTGACATCTTCTGATCCTGGACAGTGGCCTGATGTTCTTAATGATGGTGAAAAGAGTTCCCTGGTGAAAAAAGGTCCTCTTCAGGTGACGGATATTGTTTTTCCTCAAAGCAATGAACAAAATACTCGGAGATTCACAAAGGAAAATTATTACATGGTCATGAGAAATGGTGAAAAAATAAAACGAACATGGCTAGTATATTCAAAATCGACCGATTCAGTGTTTTGCTTTGCTTGCAAAATATTTGGCAAAAAGGACAATAATGCTCTAACTAAAGGAGGGTTTAAAAACTTGAAAAACCTTGTTGCACATTTAAAAGAGCATGAATATTCCAAACCCCATATAAATAACATGAAAAGTTGGCATGAGCTCCAGATAAGGTTAAAAACAAAATCTGCTCTAGATCAAATAAACCAGGATCTATTGCACCTTGAGGAGCAGCACTGGAAAGCAGTAATCCACAGGATTATTGCTATAATATGCAAGTTCTACAAAGAAGTATTGTCACAGAGTTGAGAACCTATAAGCAAAGCTTATAGGTTCTCAACCTATAAGCTTTATTGTTTAGTTGTTAATTATGTTTTCATAATTTTGTTGTTCTGCTGATCTCTGTTGTTGTTAGTATTTTGGCAATTCTGTTTCAACTTTATGATGCAAAATAAATAATATATTTATATCTACTGCAGTATTAACCTTTTTATGTAGTTATATGGTCGGTATCGGGGCCCCCAAGGACTCTTTTGCCTGGGGCCCCGGGGTACCCTTGGAACGCCACTGCAGAAACTAAACATGTCTCCAACAATTGAGTGCAGACCACTACAATAGTATCATGCAACAATACTTTGATATCAAATGCATCACGTCTGCGTCGCGTCAGAAACGTCGGTCTAGACACGTGCGTCTTTGATGCGTCTGATCCATAGACTCTCCATATACTATGGCCTTTAGGCCCTTTGATTTCAAAACACGTTGGGTTTATGTCTACTGGTCCCGCACACATGAAACAAAGCTTATTTTTTTCTATATTCCCTTTTGTTGATTCTTGATTTTTTTGCCATTAAAAAGTCCCTTAAATCTATTTAGCCCTTTCACCTTTAGACATTTTGATTTCAAAACACGTTGGGTTTAGGTCTACTGGTCCCCCACACATGAAACACAGCTTATTTTTTCAATATACCCTTTTGATTAAATATATATTTTTTTGCTATTATAAATTCCATCCCTCCATTTTCTTCCGCTTTATCCGTTGTCGGGTCGCGGGGGCAGCAGCCTAAGCAGAGACCCCCAGACTTCCCTATCCACACACACTTCCTCCAGCTCATCCGGGGGGACCCCAAGACGTTCCCAGGCCAGCTGAGAGATATAGTCCCTCCAGCGTGTCCTGGGTCTTCCCCGGGGCCTCCTCCCGGTGGGACGTGCCCGGAACACCTCCCCAGGGAGGCGTCCAGGAGGCATCCGGAACAGATGCCCGAGCCACCTCAACTGGTTCCTCTCGACTTGGAGAAGCAGCGGTTCTACTCCGAGCTCCTCCCGTGTGACTGAGCTCCTCACCCTATCTCTAAGGGAGCGCCCAGCCACTTTGCGGAGGAAGCTCATTTCGACCGCTTGTATCCGCGATCTTGTTCTTTCGGTCATTACCCAAAGCTCATGACCTGACCACTTGAACTCCTCCACCCACCTGGAGAGGGCAAGGCACCTTTTTCCACTCGAGCACCATGGCCTCGGATTTGGAGGTGCTTCACACTCGGCTGCAAACCGTCCCAGTGCATGTTGCAAGTCCTGGTTTGTTGGAGCCAACAGGACAACATTTTCCGCAAACAATGAAATCCTGTGGTCCTCGAACCGGACGCCCTCCGACCCCTGGCTGCGCCTAGAAATTCTGTCCATAAACACAGTGAACAGAACCGGTGATAAAGGGCAGCCTTGGGGGAGGCCAACATGCACCGGGAACAGGTCTGACTTACTGGCAATGCGAACACAGCTCTGGCTCCGGTCATACAGGGACCGGGCGGCCCTCAGCAGAGGACCCCGGACCCCGTACTCCCGGAGAACCCCCCTAAGGACACCCTGGGGAACACGGTCGAACACCCTCTCCAAATCTGCAAAGCACATGTGGACAGGTTGGGCGAACTCCCATGAACCCTTGAATACCCAATGGAGAGTATAGAGCTGTTCCGCGGCCGGGAAGAAAACCACACTGCTCCTCTTGAATCCGAGATTCGACCATCCGTTGTAGTCTCCTCTCCAGTAAATAAAAAACACAGTCACGATTTATAAAAAATTATAAATCGTGACTGTGTAGAGAGTTTGTACGTGAATTCAAAGCTATGTCATGTTACAAAGTGGTGCACACTGCTGTAACCATCTTGGACACATCCAACCTCGGGAAAATCCATCTGAATAATAGTTACATGGCCTTAGGAAGAGGAAACTCCAGGGGGGTGCGTGCAAAATTGCTGTGGACTAAAAGTCACATTCTATCCAATAATACTGACCTGGGCCATAGTTATATCTCAATAACATAAACATGTTATTGTGATGGTTCAAACTCAAAATGTGTGCAATTGAAGTTGATTGCCACTATAATCCCCAGAATGTTCCCTCACAATGGCCGTTTCCATGATTGTAGAAAGACTGCATAGGCACCATTTCAGTTTCCCTCCAAATTTACTAAACCATATTTTCTATGAGGGATAACTTTTAATATATTTTTGGCAATACATATCCAAATCAATATTTTATGGTCACAAACTGTAATACACAGTGGTGTTCTGTGGATGTCTCCCCGGGATGAGAGGGCGCCCTGTGGAACACCCAGGACACGCTGGTCTGCGATTCTCCAGGATCTGGAGCTGGGGGAGGTGTGTGTGTGGAGCCTACACGGTCTGGCAATGGAAGAAATTGAAGAAAATGTAACATGAATGATGAAAATTATGGCAAAACTATATTAATTTAACACAATAAATAAATTATGAATGGGGCCAATTTATGACATTTATAATTCACTTGAATCAGTTGTGCACATATCAACTGAAAATATAAGTAAATAAGACAATTCTATATATATTTGATTAACTTTCCAATGTCTCTGACAATAAGTTAGTTGTACTTGAAAAAGTAGGCTTAATAGTAGTATAAGTAAAAGTAAAATACATCTATTTTGGATTAGCACTCTTGCTGGTGTTTGAGGCAGCAATTTTCAAAACATGACTGAAGAGTCGACAGATCCTCCTCAGAGCAAGATATATTTTTCATATTCATAGAAATGCGTTGGTAAAATGAGCTGTCTGAACTTGTTTCAATTGTGCCACTACATTTCCCCACAGTGCTTACATGTTCTTTCATTACGAGCACTGTTATTTATTGTTTTCATTTCTGTGTCGGTAAAGAGCGGCTGAAAATGTATAATGAAAAATATGCATGATTGTTGAAAGGAGAGGTTTATATCAAATGTGTGTGGTGCCTTTGGGAGCAGCATGCCTGACTTGGCAGCCCTGAACCAAAGTGAATTGTTAAAACCTGAACTTGTCCATAGAGCATGCTAATTGATTATGTTAAATAAAATTAGTCGTCACATCAGCAGAAAATCAATATGCATCAAAGTATCTTTCTTTCTTAAATGTTGGCAATTAAACTAGTTCATGTATTGGTATATAGTTGTTAAAGTATCCATGTGTTCAACTGTACTTAGTGGCTTAGTTCTTGGCTGATCCAAACTGCTGCTGGACTGAGTTCAATTATGCTCCACCTTTTGTTTGCTGTTTTTCCAAAGATGATGAATACAACGCACAAATGTATCATATGATCACACATATGATTCAGACCAGAGACAATCTTCCATAAAGAAAACTACATAATAATATAATGATGTAAGAGCCTCTATCAAAAGGGCATCCTAAAGGATTGAATGACTTGCTTATGATGTGAATATAGCACAGTGAAAGCTCCTTCAGTCATAAAATGTAACACAACATGTGTTTATTTGATCAACAAAAACAGGCCCACGTACAAATTTCATGTTTCCAACAAAGCTTAACATATTTTATTATTTTATACTTGAGAGTCAGCAAACACTGTGTGAGATTTTAAAGCTCTAGGTCCAAATTCAGTAAAACATCTCTATATCGTAATAAGTTATTGTCATGTTGTAATATTTTTGAAATTCTGCAAAAGTACAATTTACAACAGTAACAACAACATTCAAACGAGTACAACAACCTCCGAGCTCCAGGTGGAAATAAACAAAAGCACCATCTGGCCGCGCTGCTGCACCTGCAAACCAATGGGTCAGCCAGACTAGACCCTGAGCTTCCTCTTCCCATGTCCATGGATCATGCCTCATGTCATTTTATGTCGTAATTATTTTCTCACATTCTGTTACAAAATTTACATTTATGCAAGGCACGGAAACAACCAAAAGATAAATCAAATGCACTGAACTCACCGCTTGTCTCTTGCTGTTGCTTTATGCATTTATGAGCCACATCACCAGCAATTAAAAACAACTTTCTAAATACAATTAAGTTTGTAATATCTGAGTGAAAAACTGCTTCAAAAATCCTTCAAGTTACTTTCTTTGTTATCCAAAGTCATTGCACTTTCACTGCATTTGTACAAAATACTGAAAGCTATTCCCAAATCCTATTCCCTCGTTTTTGTCGGACAACTTTTTATAGCTGTGTTCAAACAAGACATACGAGATTAGCCCATTATGGAAACCAAAAGTAGGACAAAGGAATTACCTCGCCTCTGTCAGTAGCAACAAGGACAACATGGAGTAAGTGTGTGATATGTCCTCCTTTCTGTGAATTTAACAGTATTCACTTAATGTTCAGCCATTTTTGTGAATGACTAAATATGCAGAACGGTATTTAAATATAGAAGTAGCATGGAAAGATTGTACATTTGAAACCCTGATCACCAGAAAATCATAAGCTTTGTCGATTCGAGGGAGTGCCCAGGGAGTACCACAGGCGAGAGATTCTCCTCAACACAAGGTCTGATATAATAATAATAATAATAATTGTGTAAAAGTGCAATGTGCTTTTTGCTGAATCAACAATACATTTCTTTCAAGATCATAAAATATTAGTCGGCTTCCTAATGTAATGAAACTTGAAAGAATCTGGCATGACTTTTGTTCACTTATAGCAAAACTGTATTTCTGTTGCACTCAAATAGTTTTTATACATGTCAATACAAACTTTAACAATGACAAACCATTTAAAGGGGATTATTCAACCATATTGTAAAGGGGATTATTCTTGGCACAAGGACAACTTTTGTAAGGAGTGGACAGTTTGCAAAGCAACAAAACAAGTTCAAGAATATGTATTTACAAAAGCTGGAATATGTTCAAGCAGAGGAGCAAAAGTGTAGAAAAGAAAATTCTTAAGGGATCATATGAGAGAAGGTCATTTTGGACCATATGATCCTGTGGAATCATCTATATTACATTAAGTATTTTTCACAATATCTAACCTCCCCTTAGCATAAGCATCACCAGTAAGATTTGATGGAGGTTATAGTCAGACCAATGGTAAGGGGCCTCAGCTGTTCAGGAACCTCTGGTGGCGCTTGCCCATTTTTATGTGTTTTATCTGGTGTGCACTGGGTGTTTTTACAGGGATTGCAATGTGGCTTTTAACTGCAAATGGAGCTAAAATGAATGTTATGTAACATTCTCTGCATTTGACCCATTCTGCCACTCTCTGTCGGAGCAGCGGTCACTGTGGTACAGCGCCCAGGCAGCCATGCAAACTCCATTCCACACCTTGTTCCGACTGAGATTTGAACTCAAGACCTTCTTGCTGGTGGCAAACTGGTAAAAGAACCATATACCAGTGGTTTAACAATTGGCCACATTTTGATCTCAGCCCTGTCTGTGCATTAGGACCGCTTTGCACGAATCTATTCTCTCTACAATTTTCAAAAACTTTTATTTATGAAGCAAATTAAAAACTCTACAGTTGGCCAAAGTGCTGCATGCAAAACCCATAATAATAGAACATAATTATGAAAAACATTGCCACACCATTCAATCAATTATACACTCAAAACTACCATCTGAGTGTTAAAAGCCAGTGAAATGAATGGCACCTCTATAGGAAAATATGTTTTTGTGCAATCCATCTTTAAAAGATTTGACTTCATCACCTGCACCTGTTGTATACATCAGAGTGGAGGATGAGCCGGTGTGTTCAGGTTTTCTCACGCTCGTGTTGACTTTGGTAATGATGCGGATAATGGCCCTGAAGCCGTCACAGACACAATGACGGAGTGTGCTGCTTGAAATGCTTTCTGTCGAGCTTCGCATCGATGTTGAAATAAGGTCAAAGAAGCGAAGACAGATTTTGTCCTGTCACAGTCTGAAAAACACAGGTGGGATAGGCAGAGTTAATGAAGGATGAATTCCATTTAGCTCCAATGCTGCTGTGCTGGTTTCACACAGGAGCAGCCCACTGGAGCGCATTCCTAGAACAGGGCTAGTTTGACTGTAATTAGTGCAAGCAGCAATATGCCCCACTGCTGCACTCCTCTGCAGGATGTGGGAATACAGGCCTATGTTTGCACCGTTTGACTACATTTTCAAAAGTAAAACAACTGAGACATATCTAGATTGAGGTTCGGTTCATTTAACAATATAATATCCATGAATAGGTCATATATAGCACCTTGGCACGACATGGTGGTTAGCACTCTCACTTCTCAGCAAGACTCCTGTGGCATAGTGGGATGGGCCAAATGCAGGGAACAAATTTCCCATGAGGAAAAAAGTATATAACTGGATATAGATTTTGTTATATATTATTACAACTCTGGCTCAGGAGTAGCAACAACATTGAAGTTTTTAAGTCTTTAATTAAGAAAAATGACATGAACGTGTATCAGTGGTGTGTGCATTGTTGAGTGTATGTGAGGTGAATCAGTATGTAGATAAATCAACTAAAGTAAACAAAGGTAAAAGTGGAGCAGCCGGTGGTCTTTGCAGCAGAGGAGAGAGACAGCTGCTAGCTGTGATGCATTTATGCTGAGGAGGACAGGTGGAGTCTGGGTCCGGCGATGCCCCCACTTGGGCCGTCACACTCCCCCCTAGAAGAACAGGGTTGTACCCTGGAATGTGCCAGGACTCAACTTTGGTGGGCCCGTCCCATGCCGGTCCGAATCGCCATCCTCCAGATCATCATCCCCAGCCTCAGCAACCGTTGTCCCTAGGAGCAAATTAAGAGGAGGGGAGGAGAGACTAGAAAGATGGGAAACAGGCGGAGCAACATCACCAAAAGCATGGCGACAAGAAGAGATCCGAATACTCTTAGGTTTATCTCTGAGGAAATCAGTCAAGGGTGCAATCGTGGAAACATTGCATACAGACGCATCTGAATTTTCCAATCGACCACAAAGTACAGTCTCATCTGGCCTTACAGCGTCCTCCCCCCATGAAGTGTTGACTGCTGTACTTCACAGGATGCAGTCGGACCAGCCCCGCTCACAGGGGTCTTAGATGGCCACTGCAAAGACGCATTCAATTATGTGTCTGCTCTTTGTCCAGGTATCTGCTCCTGCTGAGGGGGGCTGGTCTGACTGCATCCTGTGAAGTACAGCAGTCAACACTTCACAATATATATAACAAAATCCTCCGTTCTTTATGTTTTTCTGATACTTGTGCATTATGAACCCACAACCCATGCACAGTCCCAGATCCTTGGAGTTGAACCCCAACCTTTCTCGTCCATGTGCGGCTGAAAATGGGAGAAGCAGCTTTCTCCATGTGTATGTTCCTTGTAAATGGAGCACCCTGCCTAATGTTCTCTCTCTTACTGTGCTTTGACTGTGGGAACTGTCTGAGCACAGTTTATTTATGAAGCAAATTAAAAACCCTATGCTGGGGTTTGTCTTCATTTGTTTTCTTACGCTCTTTTTGTAAAGTGCTTTGAGTTGTAATCTTGTATGAAGTCTTCCATAAAATTAAAACAGATATTACGCCACACTCATATTTCCTTTTTTCTTGTGCATACTTTAAACATAAAACAACCACATTTCAAGTGTTCGTTCAGATTGATATTGATTTCCGTATACAGCCCACTCTTAATTAAGACCATAAACATATTGATGAACTGCCTTCTTCCTTAAACAGGATGTTTTCTATTACTGTGTGAAGAAAAGTAGCTCCTTAAAACGACTGGACAGTAAATCTCCGACCAGGGACTGATACATTTGCACACTCTGTAACTCAATTAATAACTCGAGGCTTGGTTTGCCCAGAGGAGATTAGCACACTTTATCTTTGAATACACACTTGTTTAGCTGCGTCCTAAAGCGGTGCACTGCTGATGTAAATGTCAATGCTCCGGAGGGGGAAAAAACGCCTTTTGTTACCAAAGAAATAGGACACATAAAGTAATATGCTGGCATTGTTTCGTCCAAAATGTGCTACTTTTTTGAAGCCACCCTCATTATTCACACTTGGAAACAACAGTAAAAAGCTAGGCCGTGCACACGTTTTACATTTTGTCTGATGTACACGCCAAGCATTCCGTGCAGACACACAACAATAGCTTCTATGTCAAACAATGTGAAATGAATCCTTTTAGTTTTGAATATATACAACAACTAACAGCTCTAATCCATGAAACACAATGTCTAATTAATTGCCAATGAGACAATTCATAATGTTGTATCAAGTGTAGACTGTTGTGCTGTTCTGTTTTGTGTTGCTGCTATCTTTGGAGACATACTTTCTCTAAGTCTCAGCGCTCTACTAACAAGTCAGCGGTGGAAAACTAAATATAGATATCAGCAAAAATGTTCTAATTGAGCCCTAAACCTGTAGGGAAGATTGAATGGCATAAACAGCGCAGGAGGATATAATGAGTCCTGATATCCAAGTTATCAGCAGTTTCTGTAAGTGACTTTTATACACGCGTTTAACCATGCAGTAACAATCCACCGTCACCTTGAGATGTATTTTTGAGTGATGGGAAAAAGTTAAAAATGCCACTTTGCATTGTCAAATGCCCATTTGCAACTATATCGGCACATGAATATTTCTTACAGCAACAATAGAGAGTAATTTGAACAGGAAATGAAAGAACCATATGCTTAATAAAGGTCAAGGTATACTTTATTTCCCCCCCATGATATTATTGAGATAAAGGAATTGTCTGTTTCGTGGCTATTTTAAACTGACCAGGATTGTACATTAGTTCTGTCAAATTCTCATGCTGCTAATACAATACTGTGAATACTATGCACAAAACCCCCTAACTTCAAGTTTAATTATAGCTTTCTACTTCAGCTAAGATCTTTCAGCACAAAGATTTGAGTGATTCTCTAGATATTACAACTTGGCCCTGAGGTTCTGTTCTGCAATGTGCACAGCTACAATGACAGATTCCATTTGTGGGACCAATAATGGCTTCCTCTGGTTGTGTACAAGAGACAAATAAGGAACACAACCATAAACATACAGTATTCATTCAACTCTATGGTCTGACTGGTGCAGTGCAGCAAAAGAACCAGTGTAAATGTGACATGCCAATTTTATGAACCTCACATTTTACCCACAAGCACACACCCTGCTAATTATTCCAGTCCTTAAATTGAATTGTGCCAAAAGATATTCATTTAACACATCTTGGGGAAAGTAGAGCGAGCAATGAGGGAAATCATTAACTTTTCTCAAATGTTAAAATGTATCTGCCAATTAATTCCCTGGATTTATCACGGGATGGAAACTGCTGAGCGTTTGTTTGCATTTAATCTCAGAAGAGCTCATTTCTGGGAGCTTGTAGTTCACTATAGGGCCCTAAGATATATCAATATTGTATTTGAATAACGATAATTCAACGGTTAAAGTGAGCAAGTCGCAAAACTATTAATCTCAAAATGTATTAAGTAAGTAAGTAATCTTTATTCATATACCGCCTTTCACAAACCAGAGTCACAAAGCGGTTTACAATTGTTATTTTTCCAATATCACCATTCTTTAAAATACAGTAATATTTGTTGAGTTGTTGAGGCTCCTGTGAACTCACCACCTGCAGGAGGATCAGTGAGGGGCTGGTGCTCTGTGTACTGGGGGCAGCTCTGACTTCCAACCCCCCGGCCCAGAAATGCATTAAGGCTCTAAAAACATGGTTTTAAAGGTAGGGTTCTTACAAGTTCAGGTTTTCAGTCTTGATTGCTTCAAACACAAAATGCCAACAAATAATAAACATAACACACTATTTTGCAATAACAAACGCTGTTAAAAAATAGCCAAACAGTAAATATTCTTCATAAGCACAGTTTTAATGAAAGATACTATTCACTCAGGATCGATAAAATGCTCAACCCCAAAACAACACGGTTGCAGGTGGAAGGATGGTTGAACTGGAAGGACGGCTGTGAGGTTCACTCAGCCAACTCTGACTGAAGCAGGAGCAGAGGAACAGCACCATTATACACTGTCTGCAGAGCAAAGTCTTATTTTACCATAGCTGTTAAGGTACACACAAGGCCGAGGTAAATAGCTCTGCAAACTTTCTCTCTGCCAATTAGGTTCACAGTTAGCTTTATAAATGTTTTAAAATGGTGAATACTTTCAGACTTGTTTACTAAGACTTTGAGGTATGCTTTCACCACCAATATTTTATACATTTAGCATGTTAAATATTCTTAATTGCAATTTTATCTCGATCCAGTTGAATAACAAATCTATTTTTGTATAGCCCTAAATGACAACAGCAGTTGTATTGGAGGACTTGGAGGAAATGCAATAATATAAAAGTGAGTCCATAGTGAGAGATGACCATCTAAAATATCTAAAATATATTTTTTAACTAAATGAAATCTCAGTGTCGCAACGCATGCAGTAGAAATATAGGAAGCACACAAAACAATAGCTGTTTATATAGATTTAAGATGTTTAAAAAATATTTAGATACTTTTTTATCTGTCATTGCACGGCTGGTGAAAACAGAAATGAAATGATCAAAGAATATTACTCAAAATTTGCTATTAAAAATCATCAAGGCATTGCAATCATAATCACAATATAAAGAGTAAAGATATATCCCTTCAGTTGTAGGCAGTTTTTTTTTTTTATTTGATGGTAGAAGCTTCTCCTGCATTACCAGGAGGATTTCCCAGATTTTGTTCCAGATTTTAGCTGCATAAATCAAAAACACAGCTTCTCCCTGTTTAGGCCTACCTCCCAGTCCCTGTGCTCCTCAGAGTCCGAGTCCATATTGCACTAACATGTAATGGTTGTATTTTGGTGTGAGCCTCATTCATAATCCATTCAACTGTACTATAGCATTCTTCTATTTCATTTCTTTTGCCACCCACAACCTGAGTTCTGGGGCACAATTCAGGAAACATATCCACTTGACAGTAGCGTTAATGACTTGATTAGCATTTTAGCTGAAATGCTGACTGAAGAATCATCTCCGGAGATGGCTGTAATTTGTCTGCATGTGTAATTAGATGAGGTTCTCCCAAGAACTGTGTGGGAGGGAAGCTCCTCTTATGGCTCCTTACACAGCACATGTCAACCTATAAAACAGTTTCAGTGAACTAGAGTCTACAGCGTGCATTTTTAAGTCCCAAATGGCAGCTGTGTCAAAGTGAATGTAAGTGCATCAGCAGAAAAGTTTGTATATTTTTAAAACAATTTTGTGTACCGTATAGTGTCTGTTTAAATATGAAAACATGTGTTCTTATTCTAGGTGTTTTTTGTGTTGAGGTAAAAAAAATAAAAGGGATTCCTGCTGCTGTCTTGTAACGCCGGAGGGCTCTTCCACTCCAAGGTGAGAGGAGATGCATTAGTTTTGTTTTGGCCTCTGAATCTGCTCAAAGCAAGCAAACACAGCCAAAATGGTCGACTGCCTCTACTAACTGAAATGGATTATCTTTAAAACATTGCATCTGTTCTTCTGAATAACTCACAGCTTAAAATGTGGACAGTAACCTGAAAGAAAGGCATACAGTATTCAATTTATTAATTTTTCATGTCTAGTTTTGATTTATTCTGTGTTCAATTAAATATATTTTTGTAAATTAATTGTCCTTTAAAAAAAAAAAATGGCGGCACAGTGGCTGAGTGGATAGCACTCTCACCTCTCAGCAAGGTCCTGGGTTGAATCCTGGTCGCAACAGGATCTTTCTGAGTGGAGTTTGAATGTTCTCCCTGTGCTTGCGTAGGTTTCCTAGAGGTACTCCGGTTTCCCCT